GCACCTCAATGCTCAAGACCAGCAAACTCCTAAAACTTTTCCTTTTATAGAGGTAGTCACACTTGCTGAAGATCAATTGATCAAGAGCATTTGATTAGCAGCACCTGGCTGCTACTTAGCCTCATACCTAAGGAAGCAGTAAGGGTGTACTCAGTTCTTCACGCATGGCTTCTCCATTTTGGCTTTCTTTTTGTAAAATAAATGATGACATGGTATAATGTGTCATGTATTGTTATTCATCTGAGGTTGTATTTACCTACTTTTGAGAACTGCTAAGGACCAGATGATTTTTATTATGTCTTGATACAAAAAACTATAGAACTCAAAGAGGGTGTGCTTTCTTTTTCACACGACTGTACGGCTCTTCCAATCAATGAATGGTATAGCAATTTCCTTTGCAGCAGGAGCTCACAGACTTTGATAAGATAGACTGCCAGTGATTTGCAACTGCATCTCCCTAAGTTGTTTGGCGTATGCAGGTAGCTCTTGTTTAGCAACCAGAATTGGGACCAGCAACTCAGTTGTTAAGCGAAGCAGTTGCTAAGTAAAACTGTGACTGTGCTTATGATCTTACTTCAGCTTTCCTTTGCTTTACAGACCTCTGAAGGTCGTAAATCCGAAGCTTGGTAGCAAAGTTCCTTTTTCATCATCGTCGAAACTGTGAATGGTCACTAAACGAGGCAGTCACTAAATGAGGACTACCTATATAAAGAACAAGAGAGGAGAAGTTAATTTATTATTTTCTATGTTGCAAACTATTGTAAAGCTTTTAAGACAGCTTCTGGGATTTAAAAAAAATGTGCTCAAAACGGGAATAAAAAAAGATGCAATGTCGTGTGAAAACAATTCAAATTTAAGGTAAAAATAACTTAAAGTTCTTGGAATATTTTAAAAAATCATAGTTGGATGATAGCTTTACCCAACCCCCAAAAAGGAGTGTGTCATTGAACCAGCATGGTTATCATTGCTTTTTATGGGGAAATACATGTTTTTCGCCTGATGCTGAAAGACAAAAGGGAGACACCAAGGAGGTGAGCCTTCCTGGGAAAGGCTCTTATACTCATACCCACAGCATTTCACCTGACCAAGAATGGAAAGAGCTGGCAGCCCTCTTGGGGTTTTACAGTACTGTCTCTTACTTACAGTACTGTCTCTTACAGCCCTCTTTGGGCTTGGTTTTACAGTACTGTCTCTTACTCTTTTACTCTTCTGCCACTGTAAGCTCAGAACAGAAAAAGAGATTTAAAAAATCACTCCTGAGTTGGATGGCATACCAAAGAATCTGGGTTTTTTTCTTTCACATATACATATGAAAGAGGATGAAAAAATATGTAGCCAACAAAGTGATGAGTTAACTAGATACCTGCAATGAGAGGCAAAGCTGCTTAGTTCAGCAATTTAATGGAACAAGAGTCTGGGGCTGGGGAGGGGAGGGCTCATGGACTCTTTGAAGCAAAGCTCAGCAAATCTGAAAGTTCTTTGCCATCCCTTCCCTTCTTCTCAGCCCCACTGAAACTCCTGTTCCTCAAGTCTGAATAACAGACCATTTTGCAGCTTTCCATATACACCTTCCTTACAATTTTCAGTTCACTGCTGCACAGCCCACAGTGCCTTCCATCTTGACTCTCACCCTTGAACTGCTTAACACTCACATCTCAGATCTCTTCATCTGGAAGCTGGGAGGAAGAGTTAATCACACTG